CAAACGAAAATTAAATCGAACACCCTTTATGTATAACATTGCATATACCCAATAATGTTTACATTTCGACTGCGAAAACAATTCCAGCAAATATTATGTAACCAGCGGATGTTTGTTTTTGAAGTAGGTAAAATCAAGGCTGATAATCATTAAATAACCGCGCAAATGTGTTAATTCTTTGAACTATTGCATGTCGGCCGCAATCAGGCCATTAGCTACAGATCAGTAATTAAACGCCACCAAAGAGATGAGTCGATAGCAGTTTGCAGTTTACACGAAAGCACGAAACCGACAGATGCACAGTAATCCACTTAATTGTAATACGAACAAAAAAAAATATTCTCATATACTGAACATAAATTTAATAAATAATTGTTGCATGCATCAGTTGCTTAAGAGCACTCACAGCACATTGAATGAAATAGGAGTATCTTGCAAAAGGTCCTAGGCTGCTTACTTGGGATACCACAAAATGAGTGCGAGGCGAGCCATATATTTACAAAGAGGTCTTGCCGCTATTTGCATTTGGAGCAGCTTGACGCTGTTGCTGACAGCAGCAGCACCAATGCCAAAGGTAAGCACTTTAAATGTATCCATTACGTATAATAAAGACATTCCTCTAAAAAGATTTATCCTTCGCAGAACTTCTTCGATCAAGGCAATCAAGTGGCTGAGTTCTTTCAAAATGGCGCAGCTCTGCGTGAGCGACCAGGCATGAGCATAGATGGGAATGAGCAGTTTCGACGAAAGCGTTCGCTCGATGGCAGTGAGCTGACTGCCGAAACGGGGCCGAGAACTTCATTTACGCAACTTATGCGCAATCTGAATGCACCTTGCCATGGTGGTGGCGCGGGTGGTACTGGTGGTGGCACCGATACAGCTGACGGCGGTGATGATATTGTCGATGAAGCGCGTCGTCGCATAGCACGTATGAAAGCGCGTAAGGCAGCGGCCGGAAAGAAAGCGAAAAATTCCAAATCGAAATCGAAATCGAAAAGTAGCCAACGTCGTCGACGTCAAACGGAAGCTGATGATCTCGAGGGACTGGGCGAGAGCAAGGAAAGAGAGTTGAAAGAACAGTTCATGGTCCATCTGCAGCAATTCTCTGAAAATATGAATCGTATGTACGAACATATAGCATCGTCAGTGATGAATTCGATGAAGCGAATGGAAGAGAACTTTGGAAGTAAGAGCGGGCAGTCGTAAGATTTTGGTGGAGACATATATGTATGGCGTGGAACAGTTATTGGAAATATTCAGCATACATACATACACATATATTTATTTTTAGCAAAACCAACATACATACATACATATGTATATATGTACATATATTGTGTACTTAAAAATATTTGCACATTTTCTCATAGAAAAAAATTATTCTACTCGTATTTAAAAGAAATTTAATGTACAAAATCTAATAAAATTTTTCATTCAAATGAAGAAAAGTGAACTAACTTTCTCACGGTGGGAAATGATACAATAAATCTCAGGTATATCACCGCGCGACAGTAAATTTTACACA